GGCACTGTGCAGGTGGCTGCAATGCTGAGAAAACCCTTGGCCTGCTTTATGAAGCAGAAAGGCCAAGACCTGAGCCCCGGGCCCTGGGAAGGCAGATGCTGTCCCTCACACGTGGCTCAGGGCTCTTATTGAAGGCAGCTGGATGTGAGGGTGAGGAATGACAAGTAGAAATTCTGTGATACCTCCCAGTCCCGCTAAGAAGATGCGAGGATGATATGAAGTCCAGAGCCTCAAAGGCAAGTTTCTACTGGTAGGCATCAGTGTTACAGGCAACTGCCATAGCGAAGGGGACAAAGCCCTTGGTCCTGCTCAGGCTGTCCTACACTGTCCCATGCCCGCACTTCTTTCCATTCAGCCTGTAGTCACACATCTTTACTTCCTACACAGCACTCACACCAGCATTTCCACGCCTTCACTGATATCTCTCTACACTCACTGGCTTTTCTCTGAATTTCGAATACATGGTCTGATTCAGTCTCTCTCCACAACAAGGATACCCTTAGAGGGAGACTTTGTAGTCTTCACCTCTAGTCTGAACCTTCCAAGCAGCATTTGGTGAAGGTTTCCTTGCCTTCTCACTACCAGGAAAAGATCCATTATCTCTGAAACAACCCTTCAGGCAAATGCAGGCTACTACTTCAGTGCCCTCAGCCTCCACAAGACTAAAGAAGCCCAGGTCCCTCAGTCTGGCCACAGAAGCCGTAAAAAACATCCTGGTAGATCTCTTCTAGAACCTTTCTGGTTCCTCCACATTCTTCCAGAATGAGGAGCCCCTCATGAAGACATACTATTCCAGAAGTGGCTACAACAGTGCTGAGTCAAGGAGGGTGATAATTTCCTTGTCTGGGTGGCCACACTCCTCCTAATGCAACCCTGTATGTTCTTGGCCTTATTCACTCTGAGCAAGCGCCACTCGCTCATATGGCATCCCTTGGAACACCCAGGCCCTTCTCCTCAGGGTCACTCCTGAGCTGTTTAGGTCCCAGCCTGCCCACATTTATTTGAGTTATTCTTCCCCACCAAAGGACTTGCAACTTCTTGTAAACTTCATCAGGCTTCTACTGCCAAATCTCAAAGTTTCTCAAGGTCCCCCGTGAGTGAAGCTCTGTTTTGACAGCTTTTGATGTGTGCATACCAGATTTGTGGTGCCTCTGACAAGACAGCAGCATGAGGAATTGCGGGACACTGCTAGTGAATTAAGGAGGTACCTGTTCAATGGAATTGCTGACCAAGGGAGGAATTGCCATGCTGACAAGCTTGGAAATGCCAAATGAAGGTGCAAAGGAAGCCAAAGTAGAGAGAGGGAGGAAGGAGCAAAAAGAGATGGGCTGTTTGCATGGGAGGGTACAAGGATGGTCAAGGGGAAGATATTGTGAGTGGCACACAGCTGAAACCAGGACAGTGCCCATCCCTTATTTTATACCATCTACATCACACTCAGATCCCTCAGTTGCCAAAAAATTGCCACCACTTTTCCTGTCTTCTGATTTACACAGAAAGGTAACATTCCTTACTCTGTGGACCATCCCTATAAAATGTTCGTTGAGTCCACTTAGCCCATGACTTTGGGCTCCATCTGTCCATAACAGTCTTTCAGGGCAGGAGACATGCTGTGTGCTGTTGGATGGTCACATGCTGCATGGGCAGAATAATGGAAGGTCGGCAAAGAGGATTGTAAACACAGTCAAATGACTTGCAGCTGGGGTGTGAAAAAACACATATAGCATACTAATCATTGTTTAGTCTTGTGTGCTCAACAAGCAGAACATCTGTGTTTAGATAACATAGGACTGTGATTGATAGACTCCAAGGCAATCTGTCAAACATGCCTGTGATTCCTGCCCTGCTGCGGGAAGGATCAAGGCACAGTGGAAAGTTATGTCGGAGTTAATACCTGATATATACCCAGGTGAAAAACCCAAGTTCAGTAGCTGGCACTCTTTGTCTAGCAGGGACTGAGCTCTGTGGTGTCTGCATTCCTTCTTTGCTTCTGTGCTTCTGCCTAGGTGCTGTATGAGAGATGCCTTGGTTTGCGAGATAATGAAAATAAATCTAGTCCTTACATTTCATGTGTGGTTTTATGGTTTTTGCTGCATTCTGCTGTTTTGGCTTACTTGTCCTTCTCGTGCTCCCATGCGCAGCCTTTCTGGGTGAGCTGTTCCAGCACTTGGCTGAGCTCCTGGGGAAAAATGTTGTCCTTAAGTCTTGGCTGAACATCTCCCATTTCACCTTTCTCCCATTGTGTTTTGTCCTCCTGCCATGCACCGGGGGCGAAAAGACTGACTCTGTATTCTCCAAGACCTCCTCGTAGGTAGTGGCAGGCTGGGATGAGGTCCCCCTCAGCCTTTCCTTCTCTGGGCTGGACAAGCCCAGCTCCCTCAGCCTCTCCTCACAGGCCTTTTCCTTCATTCCCTGGCTGTCCTGAGGGCCCTTTGCTAAACCCTCTCCAGCTTGCCAGTATCGTTCTGGAATTAGAGATCTGAAATCTGGATGGATTATTCCAGAGAATCCCTTCCCTCAATGTACTGGCCATCTTCCTAGTTCCACAGCCCAGGATGCTGATGACCTCCCTGGGTGCCAGGGCACATGGCTGCCTCCCGTCCAGCTCCCTGACCACAAAGACCTTTCCCACAGGGCTGCTCCCAGCCAGGCAGTCCCCAGCCAGTGTCATTGCCAGGGTGAATCTCCCGCAGGGGCACAAACTGGACTTTTTCCTGCTGGCATTTCATGAGGTTCCTACCAATATGTGCCGCTCCTCCTCTTGGAGCTCCTTCCTTGAGCAGGTATGCCTGGGAGACCTTTTCAGCAAAGACTCAGCCCAAGAAGGCATTGAGTACCCCAACCCAATCTGTGTCTGCGGCTATTAAATTCCTCTCCCCATTCAGCAGTAGCCCTGCTTTACCCTTGTTCTGCCTTGGTCTCTGCCACAGCAACTGAAGTTCTTCTCTTTGCTCCTGGCTTTTCTTGCAGCCACCAAGTCCGGGTGAGCATTGCCTTTCGCAAAGTCACACCTACTCAGCAGAGGCAATGCACATAAATACTTGTCTGTTCCTGTCCTTGCTGTCTCCCCCTGGCAGCTGCTCCATGTCTGCACCCAGTCCTTTAACGTCCCAGCCCCACTGCCTCACATGTTTCCACGGCCCCAGCTGTGCAGGCGCAGCACAGGACAGGGTGCATTTAAGGTGGGGAATGGTGCCTCTGACATGGTGCCCACAGCAGTTCTTGGTGCTTTGTTATCCCATGGCCTTCCTGTCAGGCAGCTGCTCCAAGCTCCTAGATAGGCTGTGTCACAAGTGGGGCTTCACAGACAGCCCTGCTCCAGGGTCTGCCAGGGTCTAGACCAAAACAGAGGCTGGGCAGGGCTTCCTAAATATGAGCACTGAGCCTAGCAGGAGGATGGAGATGTCTTACTGCAAAACTTACCCAGAAATCCGTGATGAGAGGCCAATTCTGGAGACGGATGGTGAGACATGGCCAATGCTTGAGTGGTGGCAAAGGCCCTGGGCCACCTTCACGGAATCACAGAATCACAGAATAGTAGGGGTTGGAAGGGACCTCTGTGGGTCATCTAGTCCACCCCCCCGCCGAAGCAGGGTCACCTACAGCAGGCTATGCTGTCTGTCCATGTCACCACGGGCATAGAAAAACCTCCACTCTCTTTTACCTGCATGGCTTTGCGCCCTTCCGTAAGCCCTGGCACCACAAACCCCCTGGTGTGAGTCTTCACCCTGCATGGTCATGCAGCATGAGTTATACACTGATGGTTTTCTCTCCCATTCAGTCCTCGTACTCTGAGGATGGATCTCAGACAAAAAATTTTCTGCAGGTTCCTTTATTTCACTTAGATACAACAAGATACTCTCCATTTATACAAAGTCGCTGGGTCACACAAGATGGGTGAATATTTAAGAAGATGGGGAAGAAATATGACATTACTTCAAAGACAAGAAACTCACAAGTGGAAAAAAACGTTGTGAAAACGGAAAGACAGATCTGGCCTATCATGACCTGCACTGAGAGACTTTTGTAGAGGGAAGCAGGGAGTCTGTGGCTGCTGAAATATATCTAGTCATCAGTTTCCTCAGAGCAGCCTGCAGCTCCTTGTTTCTCCTGCTGTAGATGAGAGGGTTCAATGCTGGAGTTACCACCAAGTACACAACAGCCATCACCAGATCCAGAGTTAGGGAATAAATGGAGGGGGACTTCAGGCAGGCAAATATGGAAGTGCTGATAAACAGGGAGACCACGACCAGGTGAGGGAGGCACGTGGGAAAGGTCTTGTGCCGTCCCTGTGCAGAGGGGATCCTCAGCACGGCCCTGAAGATCTGCACATAGGACAGCATAATGAAATAAAAGCATCCTAAAAAAGGAAAACCACTAATCCCAAGAAGCCCAACTTCCCTGAGGTAGGAGTGTGAGCAGGAGAGCTTGAGGATATGAGGGATTTCACAGAAGAACTGATCCACAGCATTGCCCTTGCAGAGGTGTATGGAAAATGTATTGACGGTGTGAAGGACAGAATTGAGAATAACATGGCCCCAGGCAGCTACTGCCATGTGGACACAAGCACGCAGGGGTTTCCAGAGTGCAACGTAGCGGTCAGAGGCCATGACAGTCAGAAGACAATACTCCGCTCCAACAAAGCAGGCAAAGAGAATGACCTGGGCAACATATCCTGCATAGGAGATGTCCCTGGAGTCCCAGGGGGAACTGGCCATGAATTTGAGGACAGTGGTAGAGATGGAGCCAACAACATTGATGGAGATTTTGAGGAGGAAGAAGTACAGGAGGATACGCAGGCGGTGGTTGCAGGCTACGGTGGTGACGATAAGGCCTTTGCCCACGAGGACAGCCAGGCAATTGACCAGGAAGAGCCAGAAGTGCAAGAGCTGCATCTCCCATGTGTCTGAGAAGGCCAGGAGGAGGAACTGGGTGATGGAGCTGCTGTTGGACTTTTGCTGTCTCTGGGCAGGAGAACTGTCCAAGCAAGAAGAGGTATAATTAACTTAGATCAGATTTCTCTAAGCAAAGTACTTTCCGTTTCTCATAGAAATCCCCAAATCACCTCTCCCCTTTCAGGCAGACTTTTGACAGGTCACTTTCACGTGCTCTGGTCGGTGCTGACTGGTGGCGTCACTGGAGCAGGGGGCTCTGCTGGTGCACTGCAGTATTCAGTCAAGTCATACAGCAATACTCGAATAGGAACACAAAGTCATCTGAGATTAAATCCACCTGTAATACTGAAGAGCTTTTCAGCGTTCCTGCTCTCAGTTCACCAAACTGCAGAGCCGAGCTGAGGGGATTTTGGTTTTTTTTCTTCTTCTACTACTTACCCCACCACACCGGAGGAGTGCTTTGAAGGCAAAAATGTTTGGTGTTTGTGTTGCACTCCAAGTGAACACTTGTGGGTCCAGAGAGGCAAAGGGACTGTCCCTTAGTGCAGAGTGAGGACAGCTGGTCTTTCTGGAATGCCTCATCTGAGCTGCACTGTGCTGGCACGTCCTGCAGCTGGAGGTCAATTGTCCCCAGATCTTCTCCTGTGCAGAAAATGGACATCTGAAATAGAAGTGAAGAGAGGTGTGAGTCTTCTTTGCTGCCTCCAGAGCTCATTCTGAGATGTCTTGTCCATAACAGGCAATTTACGAACGTCTCTTATGAAATGTTTTTCTTTCTGTGATCATCTGTACAGAAAGAGTAATCACAGAAATGCACCAAATAAATCGATCAAAACCGATACGGAGTGAAGCTACAGTAAGAACCAGGTGAGGTACCCCCATGCCTGCAGCTTCCTGGCAAAGAGTCTGTCCTGGCAAGGAGGGGATCCAGCCTCTGTCAGTCTCTGGGGAGGGAAACCAGCACTGTCCATGCTGCCCGGGAATACAAAGGGTGACTTTTGCAAGACCACCCTTCACCTGAATCCCTTCAGACCTGTACTTGTGGGTTGGGTACCATGCCTTGTATTCCAAATACAGATTCCACTGACATTGCCCAGAGGGGCTACCACAGATGCAGATTGCTCACCAGCAGGTATTTATATTTAGGCAGATCAATGCTTTTGTTGTTGTTGTTCCATTGATACTGATACTGGTAGGGAAATCACACAAATACTTGAAGGACATCTGGAGGATTACCACCTTAGTGGCCCTCCAGTGAAGCAATTCCTCTTTGCCGTTGTCTCACTGCCATTACCCAGGGTGTGGGGGAAAACGTGCTGAGCAGAGGATGATAAGCACTGCTTTGGGCTGGGCTCCTGCTCATACAGCCCAGGATGTTGCCGGCTGCCTTTGCTGCTGGCTCATGGCTTGCCTAATGAAAATCAAGGACCACCAGCGCCATTTCCACAGAGCTGCTGCCCAGCCACATAGCTCCTGGTCTCTGTCGCTGCAGCCGGTAATTCCCCTGCTCAGTCCTTGGGTCTCTGCAGAAGATGTATGAAGAGTTGCATTTTGCTTTCTTCAGTCACAATGACCTTCCAAAATGTATCAGTGTAGCCCTGCTATGACATCAGCCTGGTCTCTCAACATCCTTGGATTCATCTCATCTGGCCCAATGTACTATTAAGAATTGACCTTATCTAAGGGACCCCTGACTTCATCTCCATACACTGCTGGGTTTCGCCTGGGGTTCTGCTTCTTAGGCACCTGGAACTGGGAGACCTTGCTGCTGAAGACAGAGGCAAAGAGGACACAGACAATCTCAGAAATACCTACCTCTGCTCTTCCTGAATTCTGCGGTGGCCACACACCATCTTTGTTTCTTCTTTAACTGTGCTAAAGGAGTACCAGCCCGTTGCTGTGGCCTTGAACTCCCTTGCAAGTGTCAACTCCAGCGGAGCTCTGGCTTTTCTAAACCCAAACAGATTTCTGAATTCCTCCTTTGTTTCCACCCTTGCATCCAACTCTTGTATCCTTCCTTTTTTCCATAGAGGTCCCAGATCAGTTTCCCGTTTCCCTGAGCTTCTCTCCTGATAG